GTAAATTCGCAAGCAACACAAACTTCTAACGTTTGTTCGATGCCTGGTGCTTTAAATTTGAGCAAAGTGTTGTATCCTTGCCGGTGAAATATTCTTCAGAAAAAAAAAACACAGGTGAATCAAACGACGAATTGATTTCAGGTTAATCTTGTAAGCTTCGTTTGTCAAAACATACGGTGGACATACTCGATAAATGAAGACAGTTAGTAGTCTTTTTAAACAGACCTGTGAGCACAGCATAACTGACGGACAAGGGGTCATATCTGGTCCCATATAATTCTTTGACACAGGCTCTGAATCCAGAGGTATTCATGTTCTGCAAACATAACACAATAACTGGGTTTACACAGGGCGAGGTACAGATTTGTTTTAGAATCTTTGTCTAAAATTATTGCTTTTGATATCGAAGAAGTCAAAAGACTGCAAAAGGATTCAGTAACTCACTTGACGATGGTCATGTTCTGTGTGAAATAGTTAACGCTTTTCAGGACCTCAAACTGAGTGAATGAAAAGAGATTTAAAGCACCCAACGACGATTTTACCCTAAATACATTCAAAATTCTTTTTAGGCTATCCAGAGTACTTTTAGATCTTTAGAAATGCATTTTAAGCGGCGGTATAAAAAAATTTTTATCAGTGTTCGATCATCCTAAGGGAAATTGAGCTTTTCGAGATTACAAGGGCTTCAGTATTATTTTTCAGAAAATTTTAGATGCGATATAATGTTTTACGATAATGACATTTTCTTAATCCTCTCTCCATCGCATTTTTGAATCCGAAAACTTTAGGTTTCCTTTTTCTACGAAAATTACCCCAACATGAGGAGTAAAATGTGAAAAGTTAAGTTTCAGAACATCGTAGGACATTTATTAGATAAGCTTCGAAAATTGTACCTGAATGGAACGGTCATCTAGAAATTTCTCGTCGTCATCAAGCAAAAGAAAATTCTAGACAATATATTTGCTTCTCCGAACATATAATTTAAAGAAACCAGTCGTTGGGTGCCCCTGTTGAAAGTGTTATCGAATTTAAAAATGTATATCGCTCTCCACAAGGGTGTTTTTAGTAAGAACGATTTAATTTTCCATATGTTATGAAAAATGTAGGTTATACGTCGCTGGCGAGACACATGGCCCTCACTACCACAGCTAAATATTACCGTCTATCCCCGAAGAAGCATCCAGCAGTATTGCCACTTCCCCTGGATAAGAGGCGTGGATAAAGAGATGCAAAGTGGAGCAAAGCTCCTTGTCTGAGAAAACAGTTCGACAGTTACATGAACTTGCGCCTTAACAGTTCAAGACCATCACGCCTCCTGAATTTAACTCGTAGAGTCCAAGACTTTCAGGGTTTAGAGTGATTTTCTACATAGAAACAATCCATAGGATTTCGTGAATCTATAATTGGGGTTACCATGGAAGGTGCTGTTCTAAAACACTGAAGGCTTGAGTTTTCTGGAAACGTCAGTCTGACGTAGTCATTTTGCTTCGATGAGCTATAATAACCGCTGAAGTTTGGATTCTACGCGATGTTTGGTACTTTTACAGCCATATTTCACCTTTGGTGGCTTCTGATGAGCATCATTAAGCGTGACGGTAGCTAAGAGTCCACTTTCTTAAAAAGTGAGTAAGGTGATGAACTTCGTTTCGAATTTTGCTTATTGCTCGTGTAACTGGAGAAATAATGGCCGCTCCGAAACGAAGTAGCTTTGGGACTCGACTACTGATGAATTTCTTGACCTACCACGGCATATATTTAAAAATTTGCGACAACTGAAAATGAAAACAAGCCGTGGTAGGTCAGAGCGACAGTAGATCTTGTACAAATATGAAAAAAAACTGGCTATTTCCTAGCATGCACTGCAGTTGTGATGTTGAAAATTGAGGCAAGGCCAGGCTGCACTAGAACAAGAGGCTATATTTCCACAAAACAAAGAAGAGCAAAAAAAGTCACTTCTAGACTAGAACAAGGACTGAATTTTACTGTGAATGGTGACTTTTGATTTTGCAACGATGATTTCTGAAAAAAATCCTGAAGGTAAGAAACAGGATTTTTTCGTTTTTCTATGACGTTCAAAACGGTCATTTTTGCTTTGATCTTGTCCAAATTCAAAAGGTAATACTTTGCAAAAAGCGCTTTTTGCGTCTATTCAGGATATCCCAATTTGAAGGGCATTCTATTATACCCAATGCTCTAGCTGACAGTTAAGGCAATGCTCGCGCGATTGAAAAAGTTGCAATGTTTTAAAGCAGTGTAGTCTTGTGCGGCCAGTTTTGGCCGGCAGGGCCTTCAATGGGTTAGTTATAATAATAATAATAGTGATAATGATAATGATAATAATAATAATAATAATAATAATAATAGGAAAAGCATGTGATCAAAATAATAATGACCACATTTTAGTGTGAATGTATTTATCAATTAGCTAATTGGGGACACTTTCCTACATACTGGCAAACATATCTATATACAAATGTACACGACTCAAAATTTACACAAGTCACAGCAGTTACTATTATTATCTAATATTATTTTGATCACATGCCTTTCCGAGATAAGGTGCAGTTTGCAATACACTGTATGTCGAAACAACAAGTAAGCTACACCTATATATGGCCTCCACTCTGACAGTCTGTTTGATTTTATCCTTCGTCGAGTT